ACTATGGTCAGATAATGTGCATCGCATAATTTCAGTTCCTTTGCATTTACTTAGGAATATGCTATGTGCTAGTATGTTGTCTATCTTGGAGAATGTCCCATGTGCATCTGAGAAGAATGCGTATTCTGATTTTGTGGGGTGAATACTCTGTAAAGGTCTACTAACTCCATTTCTTTACAAGCTTCGTTTAGTTCTGTTATTTCTTTGTTGATTTTTTGCCTAGTGGATCTGTCTTTTTCTGACAATGGGGTATTAAAGTCAGTCGCTACAATTACATTATCGCTCATTTGATTTTTCATGTCTGTTAAAATTTGTCTTATATAGTTGGGTGCTCCAACATTGGGTGCATATATATTTATGATAGTCATCTCCTCCTCTTGCAGTTTTCCCCTAACAACTATATAGTGACTTTCTTCATCTCGTTTGATCATTCTGGGTTTGAAGTTGACATTCTCTGCAACCAGAATCGCTACCCCTGTTTTTTCTGGGTTCCTGTCACATGGAGTATTGTTATTACGTCATTTGACATTCAGTCTATGAATTTCCTTTTGAGTTAAAGGTGTTTCTTGTATACAGCATATTGTTGGATTTTGTTTCTTGATCAACTCGGCCAGCCTGCTTCTTTTGATTGGTCAATTGAGACCATTTATTTACATTGATTGTTATAAACTATATGTATTGGATTATCTTTGTTATGTTATATTCCTACTATAGGTTTCCTACTTTCCCCCTCTGTTTAATTGTTTGTTCTGCTTGGTGCTTTGTTTCTGTTGTTGTTCTTGAAGTTGCAGTTATTTTTGCCTCTCTCGAGAATATCTGTCAGTACTCTTTGTAGGGTTGGTTTGGTGGCCATGAATTTCTTCAGTTGTTCTTTCTCATCCAAGTATCTCATTTGTCCATTAAATTTGACAGATCACTGTCACAGTGTGCCCTGGGGCCAGGGCCAGCACGGCATGCCAGGGATTGAACCCCGGCCCATGCACTCTCCCTAAGCAGGCACTTTAGTCTGCTGAGATATCTGACCAGTCCCTGACCACAGATTTTTTAAAACAAGGTTAGGAGTACTGCAAGGTTTTTCCTTTTTCATTGAACGAATTCTTGCCCTTTCACAGTATCTGTTGTACCTTTTAGATTTTAATTACTCTTTCAGATTCTCACATTAGAGAGACAATATGATGTTTGCACATGTGGATCTGATTTATTTCATTTACCAATAAAATCTCTAGCTGCATCCATCTATCTACAACACATCTGAATTTGTCTCTTGTGGTTCAGTAACGCTCCACTGTGTAAAAATACCATTTTCTCCATTCCTCGGTTAATGGGGGTCTGGGTTGTTTCCATGATTTGGCTATGACAAGTTGTGCTGCTGTAGACGTGGGTATACATGTATTGCTGTGGTATGGTGATTTGGGTTCTTTTGGAGAAATACCTAGGGGGAAAATAGTTGGCTTGAATGGGACCTACAATCATAGGTTTTTGGGGAATCTCCATATTGACTTCCATAATGGTTGGAAAAACTTGGATGAGGGTAAGGACAAATGAAAGAAGGAGGTGTGTGCGTGCGTGTGTGTGCGTGTGTGTGTGAGTGAGGGAGCGAGTGAGTGTGTGAGTGTGTGGGGGCATTCGGCTTGTTGTTGTCGCCGACTTCCTCTCCCCTGCGCCCCTCCCCCTCCCCGCCGCCGCTGCAGTGGCCGCTCCTTGGGCCGTAGGAAATGAGCAATAACGATGACATCGAGGTGGAGAGCGACGCTGACAAACGGGCTCATCATAATGCACTGGAACGAAAACGTAGGGACCACATCAAAGACAGCTTTCACAGTTTGCGGGACTCAGTCCCATCACTCCAAGGAGAGAAGGCATCCCGGGCCCAAATCCTAGACAAAGCCACAGAATATATCCAGTACATGCGAAGGAAA